AACAAAGTCTGGGGTAGGCGGTTGGGGTTAGACATTACTGGTATTTTGGGAAGTGGGTGGGCAAAGACTGCTAAATATTTTGCAGTTTGTGCTGGGCGGGATGGTCCCACCCAGTGAAAAGCATATAAAAAAAATTTTTTTTTACATCTTCCTGATTTAGCCTTTTGTCAGCTTTACAACCCATGTTGTTTTTTTCAGAAATCTGACAGCCATCTCTTTGAAATGTAAACACCTAGGAAAATAATGTCTCTATGTCCCATTCACTGTGGAAGTTTAACCTCTGAGCACCTTTCTGTCTCCATCTTAATCTGCTTGTCACAGAGATGAGACAAATTTATTATTCCTTTTTTTTTTCAAGACAGGGTCTTGCTCTGTCACCCAGGCTGGAGTGCAGTGGCACAATCACAGCTCACTGCAGCCTCGAGCTCCTGGGCTCAAGTGATCCTCCCGTCTCAGTCTCCTGAGTAGCTGGGACCACAAGTATGTGCCACCACGCCTTGGTAACTTTAAATTTTTTTTTAGATATGAGGTCTCACCATGTTGCCATGCCATTATTATTCCTTTTGATAAAAGTGAATTTAGACTAAACTATGAAAGAATGTACAGCAAATGGCTCTGTTAAGTCTTCTCATAGGAGGACAGGTTACTGTTAATAGAAAACATATGTATGTAATGGCTAAAAATAGAGGCAGTGGAAAAGGATTGTAACTCCTCACCTCTTTTGAGAATGAAAAAAGGATTGTAACTTCTTGGCTGCCTAAGTAGGGTGGAATTTCTTTCTGCATGTAAAATCTCTTTGCAGATGATCAAGCTTTGTCCATGGTATGCTGGTTTTTGCTTATTCAATAATAAAACTGCTTTCTTTCGTTTTGATGTTTTGTAGAGATTTTAAATTTCCCAACAATACAAAAAGAAAAGAATATTTGGTTAAAGATCACTAAACTCTGGGCTGACAGCTGGGTGTGTAGGGGACTGGTGTCTCAGTGTAAGTCTTAATCACATTAAAGTTATTATTTGTTTGTTTTCAAGTACAAGATTTTTCTATTAAGATGCCAGAGATTTCTTCCTACAAACTGTGAATTACATCACAAAAAATAGTTTGGTCTCAGATCAGATATTATGCAAACACAGTTTACAGCTGAGTTGTATAATCATCTGAGATTACTTTACTTTCTTGAATAATAATGGAGTTAATAATTATCCATTGCTTGCTGCCTTAGTTCTGTCTGTACTTATCACAAGTTCAACTCTAAATTTCCTCTCAATTGGTAATTCATGTCAGAGAGTCCATCAATTATTTTTCATGAAGAACTCTTTCCTGGAAACTTCTGACCTGCTCCTGTCTCAGGTAAGTCAGAAAGCTCTACAAATATCCTGGGATCCCCTTTCCCATATTCCTTTGTAGCTGTCCTGTGTTGCACCTTTCATTTTTTACATCCTTTCTCAGCTTACTCCTTTGTTTTGATGGAGCACATCCTCTAGCAGCTTTCTGAGAAAAGTGAATAGGAGATAAGTTTTTTGAGACTTTCCATGTCCAAAATATCTTTCTTTCTATTCTCACATGAATTAGTGAATTTGTCCTGGAACAGAATTCTAGTTTGGAAATAACTTCCCTTTGGAGTTTTTAAAGCATTGCTCTGTTGGTCTTTGGGCTTTTAGGGTTACTCTTGAGAAGCCTGAAATCGTTTTGGTTTTAATCCTCTCTCTATATTTCTCTTCCTTCTCTTTAGAACAGTGGTGTCCAATCTTTGGCTTCCCTGGACACACTGGAAGAAGAATTGTGTTGGGCCACACATAAAATACCCTAACACTAATGATAGCTGATAAGCTAAAAAAAAAAAAAAAAAAAAAGAAAATCTCATAATGTTTTAAGAAAGTTTACGGGCTGGGCGCAGTGGCTCACACCTGTAATCCCAGGGCTTTGGGAGGCCGAGATGGATGGATAACCTGAGGTTGGGAGTTCAAGACCAGCCTGACCAACATGGAGAAACCCTGTCTCTACTAAAAATACTTGGGAGGCTGAGGCAGGAGAATTGCTTGAACTCAGAAAGCGGAGGTTGTGGTGAGCTGAGATTGCACCATTGCACTCCAGCCTGGGCAACAAGAGCGAAACCCGATCTCAAAAAAAAAAAAAAAAGAAATTTTACTAATTTGTGTTGGGTCACATTCAAAGCTGTCTTGGACTGCATGAGGCTCGGGTTGGACATAATTGCTTTAGAAGATTGTAAAATATTTTCTTTGTTACATACATGTTTGACACTTCACACCAAAGGGCTTCTTACTTGCTTAGTGGAATTCTGACTTTACCAGAAGAGCAGCACCCTGACCTGACTCATCCAGCCTGGGGGAAGCCTGCTTTTCAGAAACAGCTTCCAGCTTTCATCCAACATTGACACTCAGACCTGCAGCTGTGGCTTCATTTTCCTGGGGAAGATGGGTGAAGCATCTGTCCATCCTGAAGGGTGACCCTGCATTGCTCCTCAGATGAAAGACTGCCTCTACCCTTGTTTTTCCATTTCGCTCATTGACACACGACTCTTCTGTTGATAAATTCATTTGCTTCAAACCACAGACATCTCTGGAATTATGCAATCTAATCCTTAGGAAAACACAGTATTGATGTGGTCTTGGAGAGTCTGCAGCTGCCTTATTTGATAAAGTTGCCTTGGGATGTGTTCTTTGAAACATCTCAGGAGAGAAGACTGTTCATAACTGTCCTTAGAGCCTGATGTAACAACACGGATTACAGCCTGGCAGGCGTTGTCCTTTCTAAGCTAAGAGACAACAACACGGAAAGCATCCAGGCATTTAAAAAAGATTTTTGTGACTCTGTTTTCTCCTTGACTTCTGAGGGAAACAGTTTACAGTTCATAATTTTTTTGTTCATTCCTAAGCACCACTGGAAAGCTCCCCTCAGTGTTTTTTTCCTGTGGGTGACGTGCTGCCCTGATGTCTCCAGCCAAGAATCTATTGGGAACAGGCCCTCAAATCTGGCCATAAACAGGCCCCAAAACTGGCCATAAGCAAAATCTCTGCAGCACTGTGACATGCTCGTGATGGCTATGACGCCCACGTTGAAGGTTGTGGGTTTACTGGAATGAGGGCAAGGAACACCTGGCCCACCCAGGGCAGAAAACCGCTTAAGGCATTCCTGAACCACAAACAATAGCATGAGCGATCTCTGCCTTAAGGACATGTTCCTGCTGCAGATAACTAGCCAGAGCCCATCCCTTTGTTTCCCGTTTTAGTTAACCTATAATCTATAGAAACAATGCTTATCCCTGGCTTGCTCTCAATAAATATGTGGGTAAAACTCTGTCTGTGGCTCTCAGCTCCAAAGGCTGTCACCCCCTGATTTCCCACTCCGCACTCTCTATTTCTGTGTGAGTGTCTTTAATTCCTGTAGCACCAGTGGGTTAGGGTCTCCATGACCAAGCTGGTCTTGGCAAGTGGTACCCATACGTGGGGCTCGAACCCAGGTCGAAGGGTTGCCGGAGCGTCGGTTGGAGAATGTGGAACTACGCTGGAGGACACACAAAACCTCTTAAGCAATCCATGTGGTGAGTAAGAAGGGGAGCTCGGAAGTATCAGGGTAACAATGGGACAAGTATGGGCTCTGGTTTGTTCCACCTTGGAACCTTTTCACACTGATGAGGAGGAGGAAGGAGAATATAACAAAGTAACAGAAGAGGTGACAGAGCAGGTTTGTTTGCCAGTTAAAGCTAAAGCGGCAAAGGAGGGAGAGGTTTGTCCCTACCTTTCTGCACCCCTTCATTATTTTGAAGAAAAAGAGTGGCCTGACCCTCCAGATCTTTCTTTTCCAGAGGACACTGGGCAAAACGTAGTTACCCCAGTGACTGTTCGAGCAGGGCCTCAAGCTACTGCTCTCAGTTCTATTCAGGCAGGAATTCAGCAAGCTAGATGAGAGGGTGATATAGAGGCTTGGCAGTCCCCTGTTAGGCTACACCCCCCAGATCAACAGGGAAATATTATAGCTACGTTTGAGCCTTTTCCTTTTAAATTACTCAAAGAATTTAAGCAAGCTGTTAATCAATATGGACCAGGCTCTCCTTTTGTAATGGGACTGTTAAAGAATATTGCTGTCTCCAGTCAAATGATTCCTACTGACTGGGATGCTCTTACTCAAGCTTATCTAACTCCTGCTCAGTTCTTACAATTTAAAACTTGGTGGGCAGATGAAGCTTCCATTCAGGCTGCTTACAACGCCCAGGCCCAACCTCACATTAATATAAC